GGTTTGATTTAGGTCATACCTGAATGGGCTAGTGGTTTTCTCTGCTTTTTTCAATTTAAACCACTAGACCACTCAGGTATGACCCAAATCAAATCTCTTAGGATTATAAGTGACAAACAGACAGTTCATAAGTAGAAACAAAGAAATATTGAAATTTAGGATCTGATAAAGATGATATGCTAAATTAGTACAGAAAAGATAGACTATATATTAATAATTAATGGTTGGTACCATCAGGTAGCCATCTGAAAAAGTAAAATAGTTCAATATTTAACACTGTACACCAGGGCAAAATGCAAATGAAAAAATGATTTTAACATAGAAAGTTAAATAATAAAAGGGTACTAGAAGAAAACTTGGGAGAATCTCTTTATCACCTTGGAGTTTCAGGGAAAGTCTTTCTGATTCAAGATCTAAATGCCATAGAAGACACCCTTGCATCTGATAAAACACCAACAACCCAATAGAATATGGGGAAAATTCACTAACAGACAAATAACAGGAAAGAAAATATAAATAGCCCTCAAAGATTCTTGTCCTATCTTATATAAGAAATGCAAAATATAATCACTGAGATTTGTAATCACCCCCACAATCGAAAACACACTTTATTAGCAATGTGTGGGAAATTATACACTCTCATACATTTCTTATGGGAATGCAAACTGATACTGCCCTGATAAAAGGCTATTTGTCTACATCTATTGAAACAAAAAGTACATTTTTCATTGAATCAGCAATCCAACTTCTCAGTGTTTACCAATATACCTGAACACATATAAAATAAAATATGTACAAGATCATTAATTTCATTTTTTTGTAATAGCAAAAGATTGGAAAAATCCAAGTATCTATCAACAGGGTACTGATTAGATAAGTTAAGGATCAATCTCACAAGGGGATATTATGACATACAAAAGAACAAGGAAGATCTGTGTGCAGTGATATGGAAAGATCTCAAGATAAGTGAAGAAAAATAAAGGTGCCAAACAGAATGTGTAGTATGCTATACTATGTAAGAAGGAGATAAAATAAGCATATATATCCATAGTTCATAGAGAAACTCTGGAAAATACATATTTATTGAGATTAACTTACTGGGGAAATAGGATGAATGGAGAAGATGGGAGAGGGGTAGGAGCAAGAATTTTCGCTTATTGTTGTGTGGATTTTGAATCATATGAGTGTATTACTTATTCAAGAAATAGCAAACTACAATTACAGATAAATATAAAATTCCAGATAATAATAACAAGATGAGAAAAAAAATTTCTTCACTGGGTCAGTAAAGCATGCTACAAACTTTGTCATGTTTCGAAGAACAGAAATACCAAATTATTTTGGATATGTTAAAACATTTTATAGTTAAATGTACACATTAAAAATTAAGAGCAGGGACTTTGCTGGTGGTCCAGGGGTTAATAATCTGCCTGCTAATGCAGGGGACACTAGTTAGACCCCTGGTCTGGGAAGATACCACATGCCTCAAAGCAACTAAGCCCATGCACCACAACTACTGAAAGCTTGTATGCCCTAGGGCCCGTGCTCTGCAACAAGAGAAGCCACCACAATGAGAAGCCCATGTACCACAGCAAAGAGTAGCTCTGACTTGCCACTACTAGATAAAGCCCATGCACAGCAACAAAGACCAAGCACAGCCAAAAATAAATAAAATTTTAAAAATTGAGGGCAGCCACTAAAAGAATATATATGCATACTATAGTTTCTAAGCCATCACAGGAAACAAAAAGGAATACAGAAAGAGTTATCAATCCAACAGCAGGAAAACATTAAAAAAAAAAAGTGGCAAAAAGAAAATACAAAACAAAACAGTGGAAACAACTCTGCACATATGACAATCATAATACATTTAAACAGGTAGAATTAACCAATTAAAAATCAGGTTTTAAAATGAATGAGATACACACAAGGCTATTTCTTGCAGCATTATTTATAATATGAAAAGACTAGAAACAATCCAAACCGTCCATCAATAGAGGTCTGGTACACCTACAAAATGAAGTACTGTACTATAAAGCTTGAAAAGGAACTAAGAATTTCTCTACATATTCTGATGGAGTGATCTACAAGACATAATATTCACTTTTTTAAAAAAGCAGGATGGAAAAATGTGTGCATAGTATGATACCACCCACATAAGAAGAGAAGAGACAGAAATACCTATACACATACTTGTTCATATAAAAGGGAAAGATAAACCATAAAATAAAGAAATTGTTCACCCAAAAGGAGTAGAAAAGGATAGCATAAAGACAAAGGGATTAAAACTAGACTTCTTTGAGTATACTACTTTATTTCATGGATTTGACTTTGAAACCATGTAAATATGTTACAAAATTGTGAAACTATTTTTTCTTAGAAAAAAGCAGCCCCTAAAAATCAAAAGCAAAGTGAAACAAATGAATCTTTGTGCCCAAATGGTGACATAATAATAGAAAGGGACTTTAAAACACAAGAACATTAATGTATGTCCCTAATAAGACGCATCTTAGGTAAGGACAAAAATATCCACAAAAGAGTCAAAAACTCTTTGTAAGCAATTGTATTTTTGGTGGTATGGTACTGGTATTGTTATTCTGAAACTGTGGCCTGTATATTATAGAATAAAGCAAATAAATTATTACATTATTGTTTTGAGAATGAAGATATTTATTGTGGGAGAAGGGAGATATATATTGTTGAGGTGAAGTAAAAATACTATAGTTCTGAATTTAAATTTGAAGGATCATAATGCCCAGGGCCCATATTTTTATTTCCAAATACTGTTTCACATCAAAAAGAACAGGACTTCTGAAAGGAACAGTTGATTTCTAGTCTGAGAAATAGGAAATATACAAGTAGAATCTCCAATACCTTGAATTCTCAGAAAGCAAGGAGATTATCATAGACCACTAGGGTTGTGTCAAAAGGACACAGGAACTAAAGATGGGATGATCTAAGCATCAGTAAGGAGAATAACTGTAATGGATTAAAATATATCAAATATGTGACAACCTAGGTGGTGGTGTAGAGCAGAGGGGTTGGGCAAGGGGAGCACTACTGACATCTAGTTAGTAGAGGCCAGGAATGCTGCTAACCATACAAAATGTAGAAGACAGCCCCCACAACTAAGAATCATCCAGCCCCAAATGTCAATAGTGCCAAGAGAAACCCTGACTTGGATTAAATTGGTAAGCTTCTAGGAAAGTATTAATTATCAACACTGACTGAAGAAGAAATTGAAATATTTTCATAAATCTACCTGTTTCCAAAAGACACCAAGTCACCAAGTTCTGCCAGATGAATTCTACCAAGACTTCAAGGAACACATGCTTTTCTTTCACATAAACAGTTTTAGAGAGCAGAAAAGGTGGGAAACTACCAAATTCATTTCACAAGCAAGCAAAATCTGGTTGCTGAAACCAAACAAGAACACCATAAAAATAAAAGATTATAGGCTGATATAATTTAAAAACAAAAGTGCAGAAATCCTAGAAATACATTAGTAAATTGAATCTAGTGCATATTATAAGAATAGTTTGTCATGACAAACTGTGGTTTACATTATGAATAAAAATATGGATCATCAAAAGGAGATCTACTGATGTAATTCACACACCAACCAAATAGAGGAATAAACTAACTTTTTCAATACATGCAGGAAAAGCAGCCAATGAAATTCAGCTTTCATTCATAATAACATTAATGATAAAATTCTAGGAAGCCAAGGAGAGAAAGAAATTATTTTATTTTATTTTATTTTATAAACAATACACTACAACTTTATTAGATTTTTCCATTTTAGTATCTGGACTCAACTGTGGCCTTAGTAACCTATAACTTTAACATCTTCGGGTATCATAGTACATAGCACCTCATCTGATTAGGTGGCACAAGACTAGTCAACCTCTCAACACAGAGTAACCATTAGCATCACAGCTGTGGCCATTTGATGTTTTATAATAATTCAATCGCAAATGTAAAGATACTCAGTATTTTGTGGGGGTTCTCTGATGCTGTTTTGTAAGTTATTATTCAAGAAAAGTCTACCTGACCAGGCCTAATTAATGACAGACACCAGCTGATGCCATTTTTACAGGTAAGTCAAAACTCTGCCTTATATTTAGAATAACAAAGGTAACAAGTCTATGAAGAGTTATTTTCTTTTGGGTACCCATCCCTACACCTCCACACACGTCCCTCCTCTATAACTTGTCCCATTATCCATCTGTTCAACATCCTGCTTTGACCCATTTGTATACGCCAAGTAAGAATAGTATTTAGAAAAAAAAAAACAAAAGAATAGTATTTAGGGTTTTGCTCAGGGCAGGACAAGGCGGTGTAAGAGTGGATAAGTGGACAAAGTGACAGAGGGAAAAAGACATTCCAAAACCTTCCTATTTAATGGAACGTTCTTCACAATACCTCACAGGCTGGAAACAGGCTGGTGTAAAGAACTTCATTCTGATGACAAAAGACTCGTGTGACTGAGTAAGGCAGTTTCTTGACTTAGCCTCACCCCCTAACAGATTCTTCTAAAAGTCTGTGGGATAATCAGGGAGGAAGCATATACATTTCTTTCCAAGTGGGGGCAACATGACTCCTTCCGGAAGGAAAGTTTACAACACTGACTCCAGAATTGGAAGCCGCCCCACCAGCCATCTTGGAACAGGCAGCTAGAGCTGCATACCCTGGAACCTGTCAGGGCTCGAGTCTGACGTCTGAAGAGCGTTTTTGTCCACTTCCACTTCAGGGAGGGTCAGTGGTGTCCGGTGGCCGTGGTCAGGGTTCTATCCTTTGATAACAGCAATTGGCCTCAGTTTAATGGCCTTCTTGCTGATTCCGGCATCATGGCAGGTGTTCACCACATCCGTCATGTTCTTATAGGACTCAGGGGCCTCTTCCATTACCAGCTTGGGTGAGGCGACACGGATTGCAATTCCCATGTCTGCCAATTTGTCGAGGACGTCCTGGAAATCTAAATTACGTCTTGACTTTGCTCAGGACAGTGCACGGCCCGCTCCATGGCAAGTTGTTCCAAAGGTTTCAGTCATGTCCTGCTCAGTACCAGTAAGAATATAGCTACAGGTCCCCATGGTGCCACCAATGAGCACTGGTTGTCCAGTAAGTTGGTAATCAACCGCAATGAGCGGATGGTGAGGAGGGAAGGCTCGGGTGGACCCCTTCCTGTGTACTAACAGAGTCTGCTCCTTCCCGTCCACCACATGCTGTTCTACTTTGGCAATATTGTGAGAAACATCATAGATCACGTGCAGGTCCAAGTCATCAGGGGTTGTGTTGAAGACCTTGGCAAAAGCCTGACGGGTTAAGAAGGTCATGGAAGAGCGGTTGACCCAGGCATAGTTCCCAGCCGCCGCCATTCCCTTCAGGTAGTCCTGACCCTCTGGGGAAGCGATCCGAGCACAAGCCAACTGACGGTCGTTGACTATGATCTTGTCTCTCTTCATGGCTTTTTCCATAGCTACAGGTGCATCTGTGGTGACTTGATGGCCCAAGCCTCTGCTTCCACTGTGGATCATCACACACACCTGTCCCTTATGGTCAATGCCCATTTTCTTAGCAGCATACTCGTTGAAAATCTCATCCACAACCTGGATTTCTGCATAGTGGTTGCCTGCTCCCAGAGTCCCCAGTTGGGGTCTCTGAAGAGGCCCAGAAGGCCTCTTTTTTTAGTCCTGGCTGAGACTTTATTGGGGTCAGCTTGCAGCATCCTTCCATACTCCTCACAGTGCTCCTTGTCCTCTGCCCAGGCATAGCCTTCTCTCAGGGACCAGTCCACACCCATCTCCAAGGCCTCCTCCAAGTCTTTGGCATTCATTGGGATGACACCTTTTGACCCCACTCCCACAGGAATGTGGTCAAACACAGCTTGGACAAGTTGCTCTTTCACAGGCTGAACATCACTTTCATCTAAATTGGTTCTCAGCAAGTGGACACCGCAGTTAATGTCAAATCCGACACCACCTGGGGATACCACTGCTTCAGGGTCATTCATATCAAAGGCTGCCATATTTCCAATAGCAAACCCATAACCTGAATGGACATCAGGAAGACCAATGGATCGATGAACAATCCCAGGCAGGGCAGCCACATTGCCAATGTGTTTCATGGCTGGCAGGAAGCCACCAACACCACCACCTCGACAGGAATTCCTTAATTCTTCAAACATTAATTTTTCCAGAGAATCATTCACATAGAAAACTCCTTCAACCTGCATGTTGGGCACAAAGCCCTTCCTGATTCTCCAGCAGTTCTTATTGATCTTTTCCAAGAACTGCAGCTCATCATTATAACTGCGACTCATGGTGGCGAAAACTCCCGGCTTGGCTTTGAGGAGCCACTGGCCGCGTTGTCCCGCAGGCTCGAAAGAAATTATTTTAAAGTGATAAATGTATCTTCCAGAAACCTACTGCAGATATACCTAATAGTGAAATATTAGAATGAGTCCATTAAAGTCAGGAACAAGAAATGATAACCACCATCCCCACTACTAAGCCCTAATAAGGCCTCTTGAAGGAGGTCTCCATTAGCCACTACAGAGCCACTGAATGGGCGATACACAAACTGGAGAACAATTACACAAAAGAAGTTCTCACACTTTTATTGAAGTTCTAGGCCCCACAACAGACTTCCCAACCTGGGGATCTGACAAAGGGACTCAGGGATATTCCCTGAGTATCCCCAGGGAATCTGACTTTGAAGGTCAGTGGGATTTGATTGCAAAACTTTCTCAGGGCTGAGGAAACAGAGACTCTTGAAGGGCACAAACAAAACCTTGGGTGCACCAGGACCCAGGAGAAAGGAGCAGTGACCCCACAAGAGACTGAGCCAGACTTGCCCGTGAGTGTCCAGGAGTCTCCAGCAGAGGCCTGGGTCGACAGTGGCCTGCCATGGAGTCAGGGGCACTGACTACAACAGTCCTGGGAACTGCAGCATGCTGGAATAAGTCCTTTTGAAGGAGGTTGCCATTAGTGCCATTACCCCTACCATAGTTTAGCTTCAGGCCATACTACAGGGAGGGAACACAGCCCCACCCACCAGCAAAAAATTGGATTAAAGACTTACTGAGCATGGCCTTGTCAACCAGAACAAGACCCAGTTTTCTCAACAGCCAATCCCTCCCATCAGGAAGCTTCCACAAGTCTCTTAAGCTCATCTATCAGAGGGCAGAAGAATGAAAACCACAATCACAGAAAACTAAACAAACTGATCACATGAACCACAACTTTGTCTAATTCAATGAAACTATGAACCATGCCATGTAAGGCCACCCAAGATGGACAGATCATGGTGGAGAGTTCTAACAAAATGTGATCCACTAGAGAAGGGAATGGCAAACCACATCAGCATTCTTGCCTTGATAACTCCATGAACAGAATGAAAAGGCAAAGACAAAAAATTATGACACTGAAAAAAAAGAAAAAAATTATGACACTGAAAGATGAACCCCTCCTCCCCAATAGATCGGTAGGTGTCCAATATGCTACTGGAAAAGAGCAGAGAAATAGCTCCAGAAGGAATGGAGAATCTGAGCCAAAGCAGAGTCAAAGCCCAGTTGTGGATGTGTCTGGTGGTGAAAGTAAAGTCCAGTGCTGTAAAGAACAATATTGTATAGGAAGCTGGAATGTTAGGCCCATGAAAGTGGTCAAAAAGGAGATGGCAAGAGTGAACACTGACATTTTAGGAATCAGTGAATTAAAATGGACAGGAATGAGTGAATTTACTTAAGATGACCATTGTATCTACTACTTTTGGCAAGAATCCCTTAGAAGAAATGGAGTAACCCTCACAGTCAACAAAAGAGTACTTTTGTTGTACTTGGGTGCAATCTCAAAAACGACAGAATGATCTCTTTTCATTTCCAAGGCACCATTCAACATCACAAAATTTCAAGTCTATGCCCCAACCGCTAATGCTGAAGAAGCAGAAGTTAAATGGTTCTATGAAGACCTACAAGACTTTCTAGAACTAACACCAAAAAATACGTCCTTTTCATCATAGGGGAATGGAATGCAGAAATAGGAAGTCAAGAGATACCTGGAATAACAGGCAAGTTTGGCCCTGGAGTACAAAATGAAGCATGACGGAGGCTAATAGAGTTTTGCCAGGAGAATGTGCTGGTCAAAGCAAAGACCCTCTTCCAACAACACAAGAGATGACTCTACACACGGACATCACCAGATGGTCAATACAGAAATCATATTGATTCTATTCTTTGCAGCCAAAGATGGAGAAACTCTATGCAGTCAGCAAAAACAAGGCCAGGAGGTGACTGTGGCTCAGATCATGAGCTCCTAATTGTAAAATTCAGACTTAAATTGAAGAAAGTAGGAAAACCACTAGGTTATTTGGGTATGACCTAAATCAAATCCCTTATGATTACACAATGGAAGTGACAAGTAGATTCAAGGGATTAGATCTGGTGGAGTACCTGAAGAACTATGGACAGAGGTCTGTAACATTGTACAGGAGGCAGTGATCAAAACCATACCCAAGAAAAAGAAAGTCAAAATGGTTGTCTGAGGTGGCCTTACAAATGGTTGAGAAAAGAATAGAAGCAAAAGGCAAAGGAGAAAAGGAAAGATATACCCATCTGAATGCAGCATTCCAGAGAAGAGCAAGGAGAGATAAGAAAGCCTTTTGGGGTGAAAAATGCAAAGAAATAGAGGAAAACAACAGAATGGGAAAGACTAGAGATTTCTTCAAGAAAATTAGAGATATCAAGGGAACATTTCATGCAAAGATGGGCTCAATAAAGGACAGAAATGGTATGGACCTAACAGAAGCAGAGGAGATTAAAAGAGGTGGCAAGAATACAGAACTATACAAAAAATATCTTAATGACCTGGATAACCGCGGTGGTGTGATCACTCACCTACAGCCAGACATCCTGGAATGTGAAGTCAAGTGGGCCTTAGCAAGCATCACAATGAACAAAGCTAGTGGAGGTGATGGAATTTCAGCTGAGCTATTTCAAATCCTAAAAGATGATGTTGTGAAAGTGCTGCACTCAATATGCCAGCAAGTTTGGAAAACTCAGTGGTGGCCACAGGACTGGAAAAGGTCAGTTTTCATTCCAATCCCAAAGAAAGGCAATGCCAAAGAACGTTCAAACTACCGCACAACTGCACTCATTTCACATGCTAGCAAGTTAATGCTCAAAATCCTTCAAGCTAGGCTTCAACAGCATGCGAACTGAGAACTTCCAGATGTACAAACTGGATTTACTAAAGACAGAGGAACCAGTGACCAAATTGCCAACATCCGTTGGATCATAGAAAAAGCTAGAGAATTAAAAAAGTAAATCTGCTTCATAGACTATGCTAAAGCCTTTGACTGTGTGGATCACAACAAATTGTGGAAAATTCTTAAAGAGATGGGAATACCAGACCACCTTACCTGCCTCCTGAAAAATCTGTATGCAGGTCAAGAAGCAACAGGTAGAACTGGATATGGAAAAATGGACTGGTTCAAAATTGGGAAAGGAATACATTAAGGTTGGATATTGTCACCCTGCTTATTTAACTTCTATGCAGAGTACATCATGCAAAATGTTGGACTGGATGAAGCACAAGCTGGAATCAAGATTGCCGGGAGAAATATGAATAACCTCATATATGCAGATGACACCACCCTTATGGCAGAAAGTGAAGAGGAATTAAAGAGCCTTTTGATGAAGGTGAAAGAGGAGAGTGAAATAGCTGGCTTAAAACTCAATATTCAATAAAGTAACATCATGGCATCCAGTCCCATCACTTTATGGCAAATAGATGAGTAAACAATGGAAACAGTGACAGACTTAATTTTCTTGGGCTCTAAAGTCACTGCAGATTGTGACTGTAGCCATGAAATTAAAAGATGCTTGCTTCTTGGAAGAAAAGAAATTACAAACCTAGACAGCACATTGAAAACAGAGACATTACTTTGCCTACAAAGGTCCATATATTCAAAGCTCTGGTTTTTCCAGTAGTCATGTACCAATGTGAGAACTGGAGAATAAAAAAGGCTGAGTGCTGAAGAACTGATGCCTTTGAACTGTGGTGCTGGAGAAGACTCTTGAGAGTCCCTTGGACTACAAGGAGATCAAACCAGTCAATCCTCAAGGAAATCAACCCTGAATATTCACTGGAAGGACTGACACTGAAGCTCCAATACTTAAGCCACCTGATGGGAAGAATGGACTCATTGGAAAAGACCCTGATGCTGGGGAAAATTGAAGGCAGGAGGAGAAGGGAATGACAGAGGATGAGATGGTTGGATGGCATCACTGACTCAATGGACATGAATTTGAGCAAACTCTGGGAGTTGATGAAGGACAGGGAAGCCTGACATGCTGCAGTCCATGGGGTTGCAAAGAGTAAGACATGACTGAGTGACTTAACAACAACAACAATCTCCACCATAAGAGTTATAAAGATTTGAAAGATAAATTCACAACTGTTACTATTTGCAAAATATATGACTGTATATTTAGAAAATCCATAAACATCACCTTTAAACCAGTACACAGAGTAAGCTAAGATAGAAAGTAGATTTAAGGTAAACATACAAAATCATTTTCCTATATATGATAATAACTTTTAAAATATAATAGGCAAAAATCTTAATAGCAACAAAACTATAAACTACCCAAAAAATAAGGTTACAAAAAAGTACAAGTCTTTCATGGAGAAAACTATAAAGTTTACTGAAAGAAAGAAAAGGTTTGAATAAATATACATTGTTTGTAGACATGAAAGCTAAATATTCTCAATATATCCATTTTCCCCAAATGAATCATAAATTCAGTGCAATCTCAATAAATCAGGATTTTCCTTAGAACCTGACCAGATTAATCTAAAGTTCTTATGAAAGACTAAAGCTCAGGGATAGCCAAGGCAGTTCAACACTGGTGAAGGAATAGAGAAATAGATTAATGAAACAGACTAGTGATCCAGAAACAGACTCATGGGTACTTGACATAGCCTTTCAACTCAATGAGAAAGGAATACTCATTAAGTAGCATTAGTGCACTTGGCACTAACATTTAGGAAAACATAAAATTTCAATCTGAACCCATTTGTAAAAATAAATTATAGAGGAATTAAGAGAGCTATGGATCAAAAGCAAAATAATTACAAAAATTACAATACAATTAGGTATTACAAAAAACAATAATGTGTTGATGATCTCGAAGGCAAGAAAGTTGTATCAGTTTTTTAGTTCTGTCATAACAAATTACCACAAATGGGTGGTTTAAAATAACAGCAATTTATTCTCCTTGTTTGGAAGTCAGAAGTCCAATATCAAGATCTCAAGGTTGGTTTATTCTGGAAGCTCTGAAAGAGGAACTGGCCCATGCTTCCCTCCTGGCTTCTTGTGGTCACTAGAAATCCTTGGTAATCCTTGGCTTGTAAATGCATCACTTCCATCTCTGCCTCTGTCTTCACAAGGCCTTCTCCTCACTATATGTCTTCTTTTCTTAGAAGGTCACTGGATTTAACGCTCAGTAGGAAAATTGAGCATGACCTCATCTCCAGATCCTTAAATACATCTGCAAAGGCCCTTTATCCAAATAAAGTATCATTCACAAGTTCTGGGTAAACATATCTTTTGTTGGGCCAACATTCAACCTATTATATAGGCTTTCTAAAATAAGACAAAAATGAAGACTCATAAATTTGACTTCATTAAAACTAAAAGCTATATGAATAAAAGATACCATAAATAATGTTAACAGAATACCACTTATGGGAATACATGTGCCCTATCTCTTTTGGACTTCTTTTTTTAAGTTAAAATGCAGAATATGCAATTTTTTAAAAAAGAGCACAAATATAGAAATGGCCAAGTATATGAATAGTTAATATCCAGATGAAATAAAATAAATAAACATAATATCACACAAATTAAGTAAACATAAAAAGATGTTCAGTGACATTGCTATTCAGATAAATTGGACCTAAGGTAAGATACCATTTTACATCTATCTGATTGCCCAAAATTAAAGTCTAATAATATCATATATTGGCAAGGATGGGGGTAATGGAGGCTTTCATATACTACTGGTGGATGCAGATCATTTAAATGGCTTTTTGGTTATATCAAAATTTTAAATGCCTATTTTCAAAACACCTTCATGCATTCACAAGAAGACATATATGTACGTTCACTGAAGTATTGTTTTCAAGAACTCTAACCTGGAAGCAAACTGAATGTTCATCAACAGAGGAAGGCCTACATAACCCACAGTATATGAAGTAGAGCTCTATATAATAACATGACTAGATCTTCATGACATAACTTTGGATGAATAAGGTATTCTGCACAACAGTATATACAATACTATACTGTATTAAAAGAATACACAGAAAACAATATTTTATATGCATTGCTCTGTGTGTGTGTGTCTCTGTGTGTGTGTGTGTGTGTGTGTGTGTGTGTGTGTGTGTGTGTGTAAATCCATAGGGAAAAATCAGAAACGATAAAAACCAAACTTATAAAAGTGGTTACCTTCGAGAAGGGAGATAAAGAGGACTGTGATTATGGGTGATAGACATGGGGAACCTTATCTGTAATATTTAAATTTTTTTCATGAAGAGTGTGTTTATATATTTTTTTAATTTAAAGAGAGTGAATGGGAAACAATAGAAAGAAGGCAGTATGTGAACTAATTTTTTCAAGAAATTTAATAACAAAAGGTTTATTATTAATAATAAGAGAATAACTAAGCAAACTGGAACATCTACCAGAGGGAAGATTAATGTAGAAAATTAACATAAAATGGAAAACATTTATAAAATGTGAAGTTGAAAAAATTTTGGATTTTTGAGAATTAGTATGATTGAAACTTTCAAGTAATATAAGGGAGCAACAATAAAATATTCCCAGGAACTTGAAAATAAATATTTTTCAAGAGTTAAACTATAGGGATTTCCCTGATGGTCCAGTGGCTAAGACTCTGCACTCTCAGTACAGAGGGACAAATGGGTTTGATCCCTGGTCAGGGAGCTAGATCCCACATGGTACCACTAAGAGCTAATGAAATTAAGTATATAAATAAATATTTTTAATGTACAGTGAATCAAATGGAAAAAAATCACCTTCAAGAAACATGGCTTCCAGATAAGCAAGACTTGACTATAAATTGATTGGAAGAATATGTCAGTGAACCATGGAAGCACAGAAAAGGGAGAGTCAGTGAAGCCAACATAGACCAGACTTGTTAATTATTAATCTTCATGTGCCTTAGTTTCTCCATCTCTAAAACCAGGTTAATCATAGTATTCACTTCATAGGGTTATTGTATAACACAAAATAGCACTTGTAAGGAGTGAGGCTTATACATTATGAAAGGGAGGGAATGTGGTGGTATGAATGTCACTGTTCTATTTACAACTAGGATCCTGATTTTAACACATCAGTCTCTCATGAGGTAATCAGCATGATCAGCCTCCTGAGTCTGACCTGTTCAGGGACACTGAGGAGATTAAGTTTCCCAGACAGAAAGGCCCATCCTGGAAAGCACCAAGGTAATGGTTGAAAGCACCAAGGTAAATGCCATTCAACAAGGCATCTTGGTAACCAGACAGTTACCTTTCTTGGTTACACACTACCTTTGGCTTTTCTAATTTATTCATACTTCTGTAAAACTTGGTGGGGAGGGTGGTCTATGCAGAAAGAATAAAAAGCTAGAAAAAATAAGCTAAATATTAACGGGTGGTTGTGTGAAGGAATTATGGGTGATTTGCTTTACTTTTCTATACTTTCCAAATTTTCTTTAGTGAACATATATTACTTTAATATTTTAAAAGTATTTTTAAAGGATGATGAGGTGAATAAAAAGAGAGGGCAGTAGTTTCGAGGAGACAAGGGTAGAGAAAGGGCTTTTGAAGCGACACACCAAGAGTAAGATGTCAGGGAGTTAGGACCAGAGCAGGTCAGTAGGACCTACCTATTCTTTCTTCCAAAATAAAGTAGCTTTCTCTGGAAAGACTTTTTTCTTCCCATGTGTACCTGGGCCATGAAGTAGCTGTTATTTTCCAGTCACGGAGGGTTTGATTAGACTGTGAATGCAATGGAAACTATTCGCTTGAGAATTCTATCACTGCGACTAACTATATCACTGACTGGCATTGAACCTGAAAGTTCCAGACCTGAGTTCCTGAGCATTTACTCCCTCCTTCTTCATCATCATTACCAAATAGTTGCTAGTCACATCCTAGATGCCTGATTTTACACTAATTTGGGCGTGGGTGAAGGTCGGAGGGAGCTTACTAGGAAAGACTATGTTCCAATATAACATAAAATTTAAATTAAAAAAAGATAAATGAAAATGCAAAATCACTGTGGCCTAGGTGAGATGGCTAGGGAAGGTTAGAATCACAGATTTTCAGAGTTGGACCTGAAAGGTCAATCGGTCTAATTCTCTTATCCCGCAATTCAAAGAGCAGGTGGTAATTAAGCCTTGACTTTATTTTTTTTCCATTTATTTTTATTAGTTGGAGGCTAATTACTTTACAATATTGTAGTGGTTTTTTGCCATACATTGACACGAATCAGCCATGGATTTACATGTATTCCCCATCCCGATCCCCCCTCCCACCTCCCTCTCCATCCCATCCCTCTGGGTCTTCCCAGTGCACCAGCCCTGAGCACTTGTCTCATGCATCCAACCTGGGCTGGTGACGAGAACAGCATTGAAACAAGTATACTATCAAGGGTGAAAAAACCTTGACTTTAAAGACTTGCAGGGTCTGGGTCACAGATCAAGATGTGAAGGTTGGTCAGTAAACAAAGGGAGCAAAAGTCCTGGGGCCGGGACCCCGAGCGGTGTGCAGACCAATTACCCTGCGGCCAATGATCTGCATTACCTACAGGTCTCTTTTCTAGCTTCCTTTTCTGCCTTTATTTTCAGCTGAGTCTTTGTTGCCTCAGCCTTGTGACCTACGTTCGCACGAGGGAGCCTTCCAAAGCCGTTATACAATCTCCTCCAGCTGCTCTCAGGCCAATTCCCGCCTGGGCCACTTGCTTCCTCAAAGCACACAGCTGCCCTCTCCTTCCCCAGCGCGCCGATTCGCCGCTTTCTGAGGAATAAACCTTAGAGAGTTGTTTCTTTTTTGGTTTGGATCGGAGTAAGGAGTTTAATCTGAGCTTTGAGTCAAAAGGATAAAATATAAAAAAGACCCGGAAATTCCAATTCTTTAGACCTTGAACGCAAACGATCATTCTTTACTTTCAGGTTTGAAGTTACCGTCGGTTTCGAAAGCTAGGCGGGCAGAAAAACAGCCTCCCTGACATCCTGTATGCGCAGCAAGTGTGGACAACTGAAATAGTCATCTGAGGTGTTTCGAAAATAAACTCCTGATAGCACATTGCCTACGGTGACACATTCTCGGCTGCGGGGCGGACAGGGTCGCCGGGGGGCGGGGCGAGTCCGGCTGCCGCGCGCAGCTGCTGGGACCCTGTGGCGCCAGCCCCGCCTCCAGCTTGCGTCTCGCGAAAGGTGGAGGCGGAGCCGCGGCCGGTGACCTGCAGCTCTGGGCCGCTGCGGTCTTCAGTCTCGCTGAGTGGAGCGGAGGATGCAAGAGCTACCCGCGGAGGCCAGACCCGCTTAAGGGAGGCGGCGAGCGGCGCCAGAGGCACTTTGGCTGGGTGCTACAGTGCGGGAGGCACGCGCGGGCGCGGAGGAGTGGTGGCCCCCGGGAGGCCGCAGTGGCCTGGCACTAGGGCTTCCCACATTGAGGGCGGAGCTGCGTTGGCACCTCCTTTCTTGGAAGATCGTGGGCCCCTGTGGCACTCTGGCCAGTCCTCTGAGGGGATTGGAAACCCAGCGCGATGAGGAGTCGGAGTAACTCCGGGGTCCGGCTAGACGGCTATGCTAGGCTGGTGCATCAGACCATCCTGTGCCATCAGGTAAGTGAATGGGTGTCGCCTGTGATCACCGAGGATGTGCAGTGTGATAACCTGAATGGAGACCCTGGGTGAACCCGTGTGCGTGCGTGCGTGCGTGTGCGTGTGTGTGTGTGTTGCAGGTTCTCCTGCCCCCTAGCTGGGGAGGCCATAAAGGACTCTGAAGCAAAGGGGTGTTGAGACCAGAACAGAACCCGAATCAGGCACCATTAGCCAGAAGTCCTGAGTTAGAGCTTCTAAGCTCCCCTCCCCATGCCCCCGCGTCCCCCATATCACAGCTAGGTTCCAGGAGTCAGAATTGTATGATGCTTTGAAGCTTGTTTATGGACACCGACCCCGACCGGGCCCCAGGTCTGGGAGCCCTCTCCTTCCCCTCCGCCAAAGAAAAAAAGAAGTAGAGGAACTTTTAGCTATCTTTAGACTGTTGTGAAGATCTGAAGTGCCGTATGTACTTCATTATAGTTTTTCTACTCTTTTACAGTCCTCTGCTCTACCAGCTGAGCTATCGAAGGGAGTAGTTTTCCTACTCTTTTAATGCTGCTTTTTCATTGATAGTTCATTCTTTCTAACTGGAAAGTTAAAACATCTCCTTTTAAGAATTCCCACATTTCAGACTGGTAAGGCTTCAGCCAGCTCTTTCCCCTTATTCAAGATAGCATTTGCTTGCACTTGGTCGGAAGAGATTATAAAACTCAGGAGTGGGGACATAGAAGAAAAACCAAAGTCCCTCAGTACCCATTTGATACACTCTGTTTCCTCATATTAACACCCTATGGTTACCTGCCTGTCCCCTTTTTCTCGCCCTTACAGAACCCAGTGACTGGCTTACTTCCAGCCAGCTATGACCAGAGAGATGCCTGGGTCCGGGATAATGTGTACAGCATCTTGGCTGTGTGGGGTTTGGGCCTGGCCTACCGGAAGAATGCAGACCGAGATGAGGATAAGGCAAAAGCCTATGAACTGGAACAGGTACTCAATAAAAATACAAAACTCTGGAACTGGGGGGCAGGAGTGGCGGAGACAGAAGTAATTGTAGTCCACAGGAACTTAGTGTTTTGCTTTTCTCCCTCCTTCACCTTGCTGAAATTGCACTCCATAAAGCTTTCCTGTATTGTACTGAATTTTTTTTTTTTTTTTTGCAGTGGAAACTTGAAACTTGCTGATTCAGGGAGAGAGGGCAGTCTGTTCTGTTACAGTGGCAAATCCTATCCTCAGATCTTTGCTAAAATTTGTAATCCTCTTTCCAAGTAAATGTATTTTGTAGTCTCCAGCATATTTATTCTCATTGAGAGGAATGTTTGGAGGCAGGTATCTACTATTTTACTCCCTTTCTGAAAAAGGTAGGTGGTGTTTATATGAGGGTATGGAGAAGGAAATGGCAACCCGCTCCAGTATTCTTGCTTAGAGAATCCCATGGACAGAGGAGCCTGGCAGGCTACAGTTCATGAGGTCGCAAGAGTTGGACACAGCTTAGCCACCACCACTGCCATATGAGGGTAACTGATATAAATTAGCAGACTTTCCCAACTAGACACAAGTAAAGACTTTGTTGATTTTTATACCTTAAGCTACTGTTTCAGAGTCTGTTGTGTGTCCTCACCCCCATATCCACCCCAACCCTTTGGGGTAAAATGTCAGATTCAGCAGATGCTTTTAAGCCAACTTTTAAGGCCTTCCCCTCAGTTAAAAAAAATCCTCTATAGAACTATTAATATTTAGAGACAGGATGCTGTGTCCTCTTGAATGACCAAGAAAGTAATATTATGGACTACATGGGATTCTTAATGTTAAGATATTCTGCTGTCAGTTGTAAGGTGTATGTGAATTCTTTTCCATTAGGGGAAAAGATTCTCTCCCCATCAGCCATTTTCTCAAGAGGTCTCCCTAAAGTTAGACAATCTGAACTCTGGTCTTCATCTGTAAATCAGAATATTGAGATTTGGTTGTTTTTAAGGACACTAACGTATTGTGGGGTTATAGTCCTCGGCAGTAGGAAAGAGTCAATGTGTTGTCCTCTACAATAGCAAGTACCTCTTATTCCGTTAAGCCATAATTGAGAGGTACTTCAGTCCACTGAAAAAAGCTCTTGGAGTTTTTTCTCTAACCCAGGAAGTACAGATCAACATTTCTGTGACTTATAGAAAACATACATAACCATTATGAGAATTTGGAAAATATAGAGTGTTAAAAAAAATCTGTAATGCTACTGCCCTCCCCCATCCTATGTCCGACTCTGTTTTGCTATTTTGATCTCAGTATTTTGTTATGTTTTGCTAGAAATTTATATTAGTGAAACAATAACTAAGATTTTATACCCAGTATGATTTGACAGATTTCTTTTTCAATACTGTTGGAAGAAATCTGTGTCTTACCAGTCATTCTGCAGAGCTGACGTTTTTCCTCATGTGTCCCAGGAAGAAAATATTTAACAGAGGAAGAGGACAAGAAATTGTTCATTCTAAAATTTTAATGTTCTATTAAGCAATTTTTCACACAGCACAAAAATATTTGCTATACCACCACAATGATAACCTTGGAATAACTAAAAAACATTATAGCAATAGGAAACATCTTTTAAAAAGAAACATTTCTCTGAAGTTCTAAAATTTCTACAAAGTTTTATTATGAATTAAAACATTGTATTATTAACTCCCATTAATTTTTTTCCTCCAACCTGACTCAGTTGATTTAGACTGGGGATCAGAAAACTATCTCTGTAAAGGCCAGATAGTAAATATTTTTGGCATTGTGAGTCATGTGTAGTCTCAACCTAATTACTCAGCTCTTCCACTACTATGCAAAAGCAACCAGAGACAATACATAAATGAATAAGCATGATTATGTTCCAAAAAGTTCTATTTACAAAAGCAGGCCATGAACTAGATTTTCCCCAACTACACATGAATGGTACACTGGACTAGTGCTGGTTTGATTCTGGCTGTGGATTGGAATGACTTGAGAAGCTTTTAAGAAATACCTTTACTGGACCTCACCCTAGAACAACTTAGATAAATCTCTGTAAGTTTAGCCCCAGGGGAATCTCTATTAGAGAAAAATCTGCCTTGTTAATTCTAAAGTGCAGCCAGGGATAATCACTGATCTATGGCTAATAAATGAGCATAAGTGAAATCAAATACAGTAAATTCATAGATTAAATTCCCATCTACTGTCAACTTTCCATTACTGTGTGGATTTTCCCAAACCACTGATTGTTAATCGTTTCTGCCCTTCTAACTCTTATCTAGGTTTCTCTCTGAGAAATAATGTCAAAGAACTAAGGAAATTCTGGATGAAAAGAGGACAAGAACTTAGGTGACTATTCTAACCTAGATTGAGAAGAGAAGTATGTACATATATGTTTTTACAAATGCTGTTTCTCTTAGTCACACAGATATAAATTCACACCCATAAAAATAAATAGGCACACAAATAGAGTTAGCTCTTTGACTGCCCCCAACTGAAAAACTTCTTCCTCAGTTTTATTCTCTTTGTGTAGTCTCTCATTTTTTCTCATGGCTTTAAATGTTGCCTTTATGAGAATGACTTCCAAAGCTTCATCTTTAACTTTAACCTCACTTCAGTTTCAATCCCAGATTTTCATTTGTCTTCTGGTCAGTTGCACCTGAATATATCGTGGCTTCTCAAAATCAGGTCTGATACCTCAGCTTCCCTACTAAAAACAAACAAAATAGACTACTAAACAACAGAAACTCACCAAATGTCCCTTTTTTCTTATTGGTGTCCTCATTCAACTAGTCACCTGGACAACCTTACTTCGAACATTTCCATAGTGTGTTCCACGGAACACTAGATCAACTAAGTTTGGAGCTATGTTAAACGGCAGGTTTCTTTACTCTGTAATTTCTCCGAGCCTTTAATATACTGATGTGCATTTTGAATCTAAGACAGGGATGTATTTTACAGCCTTTCCAGAATTTCCTGGACTAGTGCTGGTTTGATTCCTGGGTTGGGAAGTTCCCCTGGAGAAGGGATAGGCTACCCTCTCCAGTATTCTTGGGCTTCCCTGGTGGCTCAGACGGTAAAGAATCCACCTGCAGTGTGGGAGACCTGGGTTTGATCCCTGGGTCAGGAAGATCCCCTGGAGGAGGACATGGCAACCCACTCCAGTATTCGTGCCTGGAGAATCCCCATGGACAGAGGAGCCTGGCAGGCTACAGTCCATGGGGTTGCAAAGAGTTGGACATGACTGAGCCGACTAAGCACAGCATAGTGTTCTATAGTGTTTGAAAAGTGCTTCCCTTAAGGTGATTTTTGACTTGTCTCTTTTGCCTTTTGATACGTGAAGACCAAAGTCTGTTAATTCTTACATTTTTCTTGAATCTATCCCCTCTTTTCTATTCCCTGCTGCCTCAGCCTTAGTTTAAACCCTGATCACTTAACACTTTTGTGAAAACGACATATAAATTGTCTATTTTCATTCTCAGCAATCTTTCTTTAGCTCTCATTTCCCTACAAGTAAAATCCAAATGTTTTAGATTGATGGTCAAGACTCTTTAGGGTTTGGTCCTAGGCTGCTTTCTCAATATTATATCATGCTGGTCCCCTGCATTCTACCCCCAGTTCCAGCCAGGTTGGTATCTTCATTACCTCTCTACCAGTCGCTTGATGAAAATGTCTGACATATGTGTAAAGACTTTTCATTGTACTATATGTGTGTGTGTGTGTGAGTTGCTCAGTCGTGTCTGACTCATTGCAATCCCATAGACTTTAGCTTGCCAGGCTCCTCTGTCCATGGAATTTTCCAGGCATGAATACTGGAGTGGGTAGCCATTCCCTTCTCCAGGAGCTCTTTTCAACCTAGGGATTGAATCCAGTTTTCCTGCATTGTGGGCAGATTCTTCACCATCTGAGCCACCAAGGAAGCCACGCTTTCCCATAATTACTAGTATTTTATTCCCATAACATCCTGTGAGTTAAGTATCATTTTCCCTAATTTACAGGGGAAGGGACTGACATAGGGAGATGAAGTTGGCATTTGGTGGTACCGTGAATACTATCTGGATCTTATGACTTCAGATTCAGTCCTTTTGAATTTTTCCTCCCTCCTCCAGGGAAGCCATAGACATTTCCATCTCCAAATTGTTTTATGAGCTGTTTCTTCACCTATGAAGCCAGATGTCAATCCTACTTTTTCTGTGGTTCCTGTATTCATAGACTTCTCACTTTTACAGTGATCACTTCTTTCTCAGGACTGTTTTCTTGGAACTTCTAAATCACTTATGGTCAATGCCATTCAACATGTTCAGTTTTTCATTTAGCAAACCTTGTGTAATTGTTATGTGCCAAGCCCTGCAATAGATATAAAAGTTAAACGGAACAAAATGTTTATATTTAAATCTCAACTTTTTTTATTTTTTAACTTGTAAATTTACAGAAAATATTAGAAATTGTAAAATAAATATATTTGTATGTACTCTTTATCTAAGATTCACTAGCTTTTAACATTTTGTCATACTTGCATCCCCTCTATAAACATGTGCACATACAAGTGCACAGCTTTTTTTTTGGTGAGCCATTTTAGAGTTACTTGCAGACATGAAATATGTATTTTTAAAAATACAGTCTGCTTAATCCATTAATTTAAAAGTTTATTTCTGAATCTGTCTGCCTCTTTTTCTTAAGAAGTTCATAGCCTAATTGGAGGCGGGGAGATGTATAAACATAGTTACAGCACATTAGGACAGATAATGTAGGTACTGTATATAGGAGATAAGTACAAAGTTCTGTGGGAGCACACAGGCTGGAAAGTCTAATTTCCCTTGAACAAGGCAAGATAGGATTCATAGAGGAGTTGGATTTCTGAGGATAAGCCAGAATTGTTACATACACTATATTTGTAGTTTATGGTTTTTCTTTTTGTAGTTTCGTATTTTTTAGACACATATCTGTCCTGTCTCCCTTTTCTTTATGTTTTACAAAGCCTGATAGAAGCTCATGCTTATCTGATTGAATTTATATCAGTCAGTTCACAAGCACATAGATCCATATCCTCAAAAAGATAGATTAGAAGATGTCATTTGGTCTGGTTAGAAGCCCTGGTGTATGTATAAACATGTATAATTAATGCCAACTAGTGCACCTGAATCAGGAAATAGGCAGTTTAGGGGAATACAAAATATAGATACTTCCCTTCATTCTTAACCATTCCACGCTTCTTATTAATTTTATCCTGACTTGGGATTTGGAACTTGAAGACAAAAATGGCTGACAATGGCCATTCCAGGAGGACAAAAGTGGATGGCAATCAGGACTCCTCCACTGCATCTATAATTCCCCAGACTTATTTAAATTAAAGAAAATATTGATGGTAGTAGCAGGATTGGATAGTAAAGAGAGTTGAAAATAATAGGATAAAAAATCTGTGAGTATGTAGTGACCTGTAGAAGAGAATTCAGAATCAAAGTCACCCCACAGAGTAAGCAGGCTATGTTTAATACTGTCTAAAACAGTATAATAAAGGATAATTTCTTCCATTAGGATCAAAGTAATCATAGAGATTTTCTCATAGAGGTTGCATTGTTTCACTACTTTATAATAAATGCTTCATGCTTTAAAGAGTGACAAGATCACACACTGCCTATTTGTTCTCTCTATCATTCTCTTTATTTCTTTCCTTGGACCATTGGTAGACAGAAATTACTTACAGAAAGGAACTCTCCCAAGGAAACACTATTTTACCCTCAGTAAAAGATTTAAGAAAGAACTGAAACATAATTTAATAGGTTCTTATCTTTTTCATGCCTACAGCTTGTAGTCCCATTTGAATATTTTGAAGGAATAGCAGAAAGTGCAGCTCCTAAGTATTAGGTTAGTTTTCAGAGGTGTCCTGAAGCCACCTCTGAGACAACATTCCTTGGAGTAACCTGCTTATATTTCTTCTGGACTGTGGAACAGAACACTTAGAGAAATGGAGAAGCTCTCTGATGCTGTATTCTTCCAAAACATACTGCCTATCCATGCCAGTGTTGATGGACCCTTCTAGTATCATGTAGTATGACAAGTATATTGTTACTATACTATAATTAAATATACTTATTATATTATTACTATATTTATTATACTAACTAGTATAGTATAACTAATATCATATATTATTACTATATTATAAATAAAGACAATTATTACTATATTATACCAATTAACATAGTATATAATTGGTAATCAGAATTTTGGAGTGTTATGATTAGAACACTAACTACTTTAGAAATTGTCAAGCCCTAGTAAGAGAAATAGTGATGACCTGAGACTTAAGTTTGGGCTTTTTTTTCAGGGCAAGAGAGTTGAGTTGCACTAGCAATTCATGTTTACAGTTATTCTGAAGTTCATTTATTCTTTAAGGGAAATGTCCGGATAATATTTCTATGGGCTTTTGAAGATAAGTCTTGGCTAGTTTAGAAAAAAAGAGTGATAATCTTGGCTTTTCTAGGACATAGGATATATTTTAAATATCCTCATAGCGTTATGATTTTTGAGCTAACTTGCCCATTTTTTCCAGGTGGAATGTCCTCTAATAGGATAGTTGACTTAGTTTTACACAAACCTGTTGGAGCTTGTATTTTTTTTAACTTGAAGGAATCACCAACTGCAGGTTTTAGTTCCACTTTTAGCTGTAATCTGCTCTTCTGTGTACCTATAAAGTAAATGCCATGTAAATAGGAACCCAGGATAAGGTTACTTGTTCTCAAAAGGTCATGTACCAACTGCAGTTGCTGAGTAAGTGTTCCTGCATCTAGGGATGTTTATAACAGCTTGTTTCCATTTATTTCTGCAGAGTGTAGTGAAGCTGATGAGGGGACTGCTGCACTGCATGATCAGACAGGTATGGCATTGTTAATGCACCCTCTCCAGTAAAAGCACATGGTAATTATATATATATATGGTTTATTTTTTTTTAATTTCACAAACAGTACATACTAATTTTAGGAAACTGTATAATTGAGGAGGGAAATGTCACCCATGATCTCACCATCCAGTTACCACTGAAGTATTACCTTCCAGTCTTTCCCCCCTCCTCTATAAATGATTTCTTTTATATATTTCATCATCATTACTGTACATGCAATTATGTATATTGAGTAAAAAGTGATGCAGGTCTTTAAGTTCTCCTCTGAAACCCTTGGGACCAAATAAATTTTACAATTCAGAATTTTTCAGATTTTAAAAGGTAGTACAGTATATATACCATATATTATATTATGCCCTCAGAAAATCCAGATATCACTCTATAATCAGAAACATTAGTCTCTCTATAGGAAAACATGCATTTTTCACAGTAAGTGGAATAAATAAAAACTCCAAATAGCCCCATGTTAGTTTGAATCAGATGTTACCACCAAATGAATTTTGGTACAAAACTTAGGGGGAAAAAACCTTTTGGAAATGTTTTAGATTTTAGAATTGGAGTAGAGGGGCCAAGAATTTATATCTTCTAGAATTAATTTGCATTTTCCTAATCTTGAGTCAAGTTGAACATCCTTTCATGTGTGGGTTGAAAATTTGTATTTCATCTTCTATTAATTGCCTTTTAGGTCCTTTACCTCTTTCTCTTTTGAGCTGTCTCTGTCTTGCCTATTTGAGGAGTTCCTCTCCATGATGGATATTAATCCTTTGTCACATGCACTGCAAATATTTTTAGCAGTGTCTGGTTTATCTTTTGGGTTTGCTTATGATATTTTTCCCATTCAAAAGTGTCTTACTAAAAGAAAGTATTTTACTTTTATCCTAGGAGTTCTTTACACATGTTATACTCATTGACTCTGAACTGATTTTCTTGAGCCTAAGAATACATTTTATTAGAAGGAGAAATTGAGGCCCAGATTAATGAAATGACCATCCTGAGACACACAAAAAGTCTAAAGTAAAAAGAAATCAAGTCCAGACTTCTGAACTTGATCAGTGATCTCTCTACTGGATTTTTTTCATTCTTTGCTACTTTTTAATTTTTCTGTATTTTAGATATTTGTATTTTCCACCTTACCAAATAGGTTTAAAGTCACTAATTTTTTGGACTATATTTAAAGATATGATAGTTACTATCATATATCAGATGCACACATAATCAAATTGAAATTTCAGGAAATAAGTCTTTCATTTGTCCCTTGCACAATGTTTCTTTTCTGACCTTGGTTCCAGCTTTCTTTCATGTCTTTTCTTTGTCATTCCATGAGTCTCTCCCCAGCTCCTTTTATTACTCCTTTTTTAAAATTGTATTTATTTATTTTACTTTACAACATTGTATTGGTTTTGTCATACACTGACTTGAATCCTCCATGGGTGTACATGTGTTCCCCATCCTGAAACCCCCTCCCACCTCCCTCCCCATCCCATCTCTCTGGGTCATCCCAGTGCACCAGCCCCGAGCACCCTGTCTCATGCCTCGAACCTGGACAGGCGATTCGTTTCACATATGATAATTTACATGTTTCAATGCCATTCTCCCATATCATCCCACCTTCGCCCTCTCCCACAGAGTCCCTACTCCTTCAAAATATATCTTCTTGGTTCTACTTTCCCTCAAAATGTCTACCTCTGTTTCAGGAACAAATGTATCTTTTTTACAACTCAATTATCTCTTACTAAGCTGCTCTCACTCAATCTCTCTGCATCTCAGTTTTTATCTACGAAACAGCAAAACAACCATCTGAAGAGTGAAAGAGAGGTGATGAATAGGAAATAGCTGAGTTCGATGGATATTATTTTCTAATTAAATTGTTAAAATTGAAAAACAATGACAGCAGGGGGAAAGGGGTAACAATGCATTTTAAATATTCATAGTTGCCTGAAGGCCGAATGGAGTGATATATGTCAGAGTACTATTGATGTATGGCATATGGGTTGATTTTCCTGCATACCCTTCTTTTTACTGTTTCTGTTTTCTTCAGGTGGATAAAGTAGAATCCTTCAAGTATAGTCAGAGTACCAAGGATAGCCTCCATGCCAAGTACAACACCAAAACCTGTGCCACTGTAGTGGGTGATGATCAGTGGGGACACCTGCAGTTGGATGCTACCTCTGTGTACCTGCTCTTCTTAGCACAAATGACTGCCTCAGGTCAGTACAAGGACAGAAAACGGAAATCACTGTAGTGTGGAGCACTTGTGGTTTCTCCAAAGGTGTTGTCCAGAAAACAACATAGATGTTTACACTGCTCAAAGATACACATTGGAAATATAATATTTTGCAAATTTTATACAGAGAAACTCTCTAAAGTGTAGTTAACACAAGTATGGACTACTCATTAATATATATTTTTAATTAAGAACCAGGAAATCTGGGATTTTCTTTAGACAGGTATTTTTATCTTTTATTAATCCTCAGATACTATAAAATGGGAAAGAAGGACTAAGGTTTATTACTTGTTAGTATTAACACCACTTACTTTGTACTATTCTTTATGAATGTATTATATACGAGGCATCTGTCTATAGGCATCTAATTTATATTAAGAGAATTAACTTTGGAATCAGGGGCTTCCCTGGTGGCTCAGAGGGTAAAGCGTCTGCCTGCAATGCAGAAGACCTGGATTCGATCCCTGGGTCAGGAAGATCCCTTGGAGAAGGAAATGGCAACCCAATCTAGTACTCTTGCCTGGGAAATCCCATGGACAGAGAAGCCTGGTAGACTACAGTCCATAGGATCGCAAAGAGTCAGACACGACTGAGCGACTTCACTTTCCTTTTGGAATCAGAATTCAGTGTTTTCTATTATTGAATAACACACCCTGTTCAGATGGCTTTTTTAATCATTTTAGATATTTTACTAAAAACGGAAATTATAACAACCAACATAATTTCCTTTTATTTCTCTTAAATTAGGGAGGACTAAGAATCTGATTACATTCAGTTTATAAATTAAATAGGACTTTACCAGATCTTCCTGAGTAAATGCATGTACTTCTCACGATAACACATCTTTGACATTTCAGTTTCTTTATCTTGCTATCTGCTTAAGAGCTCCTTCGTACTAAGGGTATTCAGGGTGAGAATTACCCCAGAATACTTTTCTCTTTTCTTGCAGAAATAAATACTTGGTGATAAAGCTTCCTTTTTTTCTCCCCTCTAGAACAACACACATCCCAGAGATTGAATGACCTTTTCTTAAAATTATGTCTACTCACATACTCCTTTCTTTTGGAGGGGAAATTCCTCCCTGAATAAATGTATCTTTTAGGTAGGTTTGAGTGGCTCAGACGGTAAAGAATCTGCCAGCAATGCAGGCAACCTGGTTTCGATGCCTGGGTCAGGAAGATCCCCTGGAGAAGGGAATAGCTACCCACTCCAGTATTCTTGCCTGGAGAATCCCATGGACAGAAGAGCCTGGTGGGCTACAGTCCATGGTGTTGCAAAGAGCTGGACACAACTGAGTGACTAACAGTTTCACTTTTCACTTAGGTAGGTTTTATTTAACTTAAGTAGAATGATAACTATAATTCCATTTCTAATATTCTTCTAATACCAACTCTGGAGTGTTTTTCTACAAAGCAGTGTCTAAATATCCCTTGTGGTTTTTCATTTTGAGCCCCAAAGTGAAGCAGAAATATACTAAAGAGGTTTATAAGAGACCATTCATTCAACAAAAGTTTGTTGATTCCTGACTTAACGTTTGATTTTCAACACCATTAGCTGACTTTGATAGGTACTTGGAATAAGGTAGATATTTGATCAAGCAAGTCTTTGAGGAATAAGTTGAAATAAGTAGAAATTCACAAGCCAAAAAAGGGAAGGGAATAGCAATGACTATAGCATAGAATTTTGAAGTGTACTGGCCACCAAGGTAAGGCTAGATATCTCCCTTGGTTAGAGTGTAAGATAGATCTGGAAAAATGGCAAGTGATGGAGCTAAAAACTTGGGGCTAACTGTTTAAGGGCCTGTGTACCATGCTTTGATTTCCCAAGTGGCTCAGTGGTAAAGAATCTGCCTGCCAATGCAGGAGACCCAGGAGATGTGGGTTCAACCCATGGATTGGGAAGATCCCCTAGAGAAAGAGATGGCAATCCACTCCATATTCTTGCTTGAAAATTCCATGGAAAGAGGAGCTTGGTGGGCTACAGCCCATGGGGTCACAAAAGTCAGACATGACTTAGCGATTGAGCACACATGAACATACCATGCTAAGTAGTTTGGAGTTTAGTCTAGAGTCAATAGAAAGCCACTCAAGATAAATAATAAAGAAAGTTTCAAACAGCAGGAAGATAGATTGGATGGAGGAGAAAATTAAGATGGGGCTTCCCCTGTGGCTCAGTGGTAAAGATTCCACCTAACAATGCAGGAGACACAGGTTTGCTGCCTGGTCCAGGAAGATCCCACATGCCACAGAGCAGCTAAGCCCATGTGCCACAACTATTGAGCCTGTGCACTAGAGCCTAGGAGCCACAACTGCTGAAGCCCTCGTGCCCTAGAGCCCATGCTCTGCAACAAGAGAATCCACTGCAATGAGAAGTCTGTGCACTGCAAGTAGAGAGAAGCCCCCATTCTCTGCAAGAGGAGAAAAGCCTACACAGCAGCAAAGACCCAGCACAGCCAAAAATGAATAAATAAAAATTATTTTTTAAAAAGATAGAGGACTAGTTAGAAGTTTAGTAAAAATACTTTAGGCACAAAATAATGTAGAATTTATGTAAGGCAGTTGTCTTGAAGATAAAAAAAAAAGAGTTGCAAGAGATAATTGAGAAGTAAAATATGAAAGATCTTTATGTAAAATTTAGCAATTCTCTGAACATTTTTGAATTCTTAAAAATCTCACCTTTGGTTAAAGGAGAGGCTTAGACAGAAGCTGATTGCAACTTAGAGGATAGTAGCAGAGGAGCCCCACAGACCCTCTCCCCAGCAAAATAACCATAAATGCTGAAAATTAATTTTAGAAAACCAAACATTTAAAGTTACTGGAGATTGTCCTAAGGGTACACAGCAAGTGGAGAAACATTTGTTCAAAGATATCTAAATCTTAGCAGTAAGAAAGTATAGCATTTGGGTCACAATCTCTTCCTTCCCCTGCCCCAAGCTCACCATGACAGAAGCACTATTTGAAGTGAATGCAGCCAGGAATACAAGGCTCCCTCCCCGCTCCCCACCCCAGCTCTCAGTCTAAGGCTGTGATATCTCCCCAAGAGAGAGAGGTAGGTTACCAGCATTTCTTACTCTCCCCAGCTCTGTGTTGCAGAATTTCTAATCCAGTCAAGAATGACTTAGAGGTTTAGAACTCCTTTCCTAACCCCTAGTCCCACTAATGGAGTGGATGCTTAACCACAGGCAGAGCAGACCAAGAATACTAGGCCTGACCCACCTTTCTAGTAGCATGGATGGTAGGGCAGGCCATAAGAACAGAAAAATCCATAGCTCCTCCCAAGAGAACTGATTTTTGGAACAGAATGTGGAGAAGTTCAAGACTAAGGACACTCAGAAACAATGAAGATTTTGGTTCTAAGAAATTAAGAGGAGTCTGATAATTCAATAATACGAGCAACAACAGAAATATAGATCAATGGAACAGAATAGAAAGCCCAGAGATAAATCCACGAACCTATGGTCACCTTATCTTTGACAAAGGAGGCAAGGATATACAATGGAAAAAAGACAACCTCTTTAACAAGTGGTGCTGGGAAAACTGGTCAACCACCTGTAAAAGAATGAAACTAGAACACTTTCTAACACCATACACAAAAATAAACTCAAGATGGATTAAAGATCTAAATGTAAGACCAGAAACTATAAAACTCCTAGAGGAGAACATAGGCAAAACACTCTCCGACATAAATCACAGCAGGATCCTCTATGACCCACATCCCAGAATTTTAGAAATAAAAGCAAAAATAAACAAATGGGACCTAATGAAACTTAAAAGCTTTTGCACAACAAAGGAAACTATAAGCAAGGTGAAAAGACAGCCCTCAGATTGGGAGAAAATAATAGCAAACGAAGCAACAGACAAAGGATTAATCTCAAAAATATACAAGCAACTCCTCCAGCTCAACTCCAGAAAAATAAATGACCCAATCAAAAAATGGGCCAAAGAACTAAACAGACATTTCTCCAAGGAAGACATACAGATGGCTAACAAACACATGAAAAGATGCTCAACATCACTCATTATCAGAGAAATGCAAATCAAAACCACAATGAGGTACCATTACACACCAGTCAGGATGGCTGCTATCCAAAAGTCTACAAGCAATAAATGCTGGAGAGGGTGTGGAGAAAAGGGAACCCTCTTACACTGTTGGTGGGAATGCAAATTAGTACAGCCACTATGGAAAACAGTGTGGAGATTTCTTAAAAAGCTGGAAATAGAACTGCCATATGACCCAGCAATCCCACTTCTGGGCATACACACCGAGGAAACCAGATCTGAAAGAGACACGTGTACCCCAATGTTCATCGCAGCACTGTTTATAATAGCCAGGACATGGAAGCAACCTAGATGCCCATCAGCAGACGAATGGATGAGGAAGCTGTGGTACATATACACCATGGAATATTACTCAGCCATTAAAAAGAATTCATTTGAATCAGTTCTAATGAGATGGATGAAACTGGAGCCCATTATACAGAGCGAAGTAAGCCAGAAAGATAAAGACCATTACAGTATACTAACACATATATATGGAATTTAGAAAGATGGTAACGATAACCCTATGTGCAAAACAGAAAAAGAGACTCCTATGTATAGAACAGACTTGTGGACTCTGGGAGAAGGCGAGGGTGGGATGTTTCAAGAGAACAGCATTGAAACACGTATATTATCTAGGGTGAAACAGTTCACCAGCCCAGGTTGGGTGCATGAGACAAGTGCTCGGGCCTGGTGCACTGGGAAGTCCCAGAGGGATTGGGTGGAGAGGGAGGTGGGAGGGGGGACCGGGATGGGGAATACATGTAAAAAAAAAAAAAATGAACTATTTTCAACAATGGAAAAAAAAATAAATAAACATATTGTAAACAGTTTAAAAAAAAAATAAAAAAATAATACGAGCAACAAGCTAACCTGTAGACTAGCTAGCCATTTTAACAGAGAACCAAGGAAAGAGAGAGCTAAAAAAAGCCCTCTAGGATTAGAA